CCCCCCCCCCCCCCCCCCCCCCCCCCCCCCAACAACAGCACCCACGTTCCCACACACCCGTCACTGACCTGCGAAACCAGTCCTTGAAAGTCCTCTCTGTGTTGGGGAGGTTACCCTGAGGGTTTAAAACATAATACACACTGCTGGGATTTACCCCCTCCGCCAGCACGGACCTCACCTGGTGCTACAGAGGGAGGGGAGAGAGAGAGGGGGGAGACAGAGACGGAGGGAGGAGGAAGTGGGGAGACAGAGACAGAGACAGAGGGAGGGGGAAGTGGGGAGACAGAGACAGAGGGACAGGGGTGGAGAGGAGAGACAGAGGCGGAGGGAGGGGAAGACAGGAGGTAGAGACATGAGGGAGACAGAGGGGGCAGTGGTGGGGGGTGGGGGTGGAGATCAAGTATAGAGCGAAGGGGGTTGGGGGGTAGAGCAGGGAGGTGGTGGATTGGGGTGGAACGGGGGGAGAAAAAGACACGGTTAAAACATCAGAGATTACAACAGAACGAATCCAGACTCGCAGCCAAACAGAAATGGAGTTACTGGGGGTTGGGGAGGAGAGGGAGACAGCGTGCACGCACTCGCGACTCTACCTCTGCACGCGTACGAACCCCGGGGGTGGGGGTGTGGGGGAAAAGAGGGAGAGGAGCCGGGAGGGGGGAGAAGGAAGGGAGTGTTAAAACCTGCAAAGGGAGAGAGACGCTGAGAAGTCACAGAGTGGGGGTGAAGTGAGCTGCAGAGGTTTCAGGTGGAAACAGCCCCCCAGGATCCGGTGTGTGCGTGCGCGCGCACACCATTTGGGGTGAGGGAGAAGACACTCACCTTCTTGGTGACCACATATCCAAGGAGGAAGTGGAAGGAAGGCAGTCGGGAGACACAGAGAGCCCGCAGCGAGGGCATGCTCTCCCAGGGCAGTCTCTGCAGGTGCTACGTGAAAAGAAGAAAAAAAATAATGTGTGAGAGCAAGAGGGCAGAGGGAGGGAGCGCACGCGAAAAACGCTTCTTTCTCCATGATACGCCGGCCCGCCCCCTCCATGTATGGGCGGGGGGAGCGGCGTGGCCGCCCCCCCCCCCCCCCCAAGGGGGTAATAAGGAGCTGGCGGTTGCTCTGAACCACCACGGTTCACGTGGGAGAGCCCTCCAGGGTTTTGTCCCAACAGGGCAGGTCAGGCAGTGAGAAAAGTGAGAAACAGATGCCTCTGCCCTACCGTAAACCTCCACCCCCCAACACCCAGCAGGGGTCCGGGACGCTCCTTCCCACACGCGTCAGCCCCCGCTCGAGGGCGGGTGGTGGGGGTTCAGCAGGCCTCCTCTCGACTGCTCTGCTACGCCGATGCTTCGAAGCCCGCAAACAAGGGTCACAGGGCATGGAGACCCTTCAGCCCAGCGGGTGCGAACGACAGCAGCAGCAGTAAGGTGCCGAGCGCGGTGGTGCTCCCGCTGACCTGCTCTCTTACCTTGTCCAGTATGAGAACGAGCTGAGGGGACTGGCCAGCAGGGTGGGACTTCATTCGCTCCACGGCAGCCTCCAGCCGAAGCAGCACCTTGCGAGGGTCAGTCGCGGACACCTCCTCCGCGATGCGTCGGAGATCAGAGTCACTCAGCACGTGGGACGCTCCCAGCACGGCCTGACCATAGAAGGGGGGGGTGGGGGTGGAGTGGGGGAAGAGACAGAGGAATGAGCAAGGATCAGGAGAGTGACAACAGGTCACAACGGTAAACCCATGATCATACCCTCCCACAGGGCACACCCTGCGCATACATTGCGCACCCCCACCCACCGATTCCCCAACATGACACCCACCCGTACCAACACCCCCACCCCCGACCACTGCACCACACCCCAACCCACCCACCATACACACACTCAGGACCCTAACTCCCATAGGATACACACACACAGCCTCACCCACCACCCACCACCCACCACCACACTCTGCACCCACCCCCTCCCCCACCCATACGCACATGCAGGGCCCTAACTCCCACAGGACACACACACACACACACCCACCCCCCCCGCACCCACCACACACACACACACACCATACGCACACCCAGGACCCTAACTCCCACAGGACACACACACCCCCCGCACCCACACACACACACACACACACCCAGGACCCTAACTCCCACAGGACACACACACCCACCCCCCACCCACATGCACACCCAGGACCCTAACTCCCACAGGACACACACTCGTGCACAGACAGACAGACACACATCCTCATTCCCCCAGAGAGACAGAGAGCCCCGGACCCTACATCCTCCTCTGGAGGAGGGTCGAGCGAGTGGCGATTCCGACCCTCTCTCCTGCAAACCCCAACCCCCCACCCCGGCGCCCAGCTCTGCACCTTCACCAGCTCCTCGTCGACATCGGGACAGTCTCCAGGGCGGGCCAGGAGAGCGCAGATGGCCGCGGCCTCCGAGTCTAGCCTCGCGTCCCTCGGGCTGGGCAGGAGAAGCCCCTTCCAGCAACCCAGGGCGTCCTTCTCCATCGACTCCACCAAACCCTACAGACAGGAGGGGGTGGGGTGGGCGGGGAAGAGGAGAAAAAGTGTTGAACATACGAGAGCAGGGAGCTTACGACGCAGCCGTCTGTAACGTTAGCGATTCAGCTTTGACAGGAAAGAGCGATGTGGCGGGGGGGGCGGTGGTGGGGAGGAGAGTGGATGGTGGGAAGCTGGCGTCGTGCTCCCTCAGGGAACAGGAGGCCGAGATGCTGGGGGGGTGGGGGGGAAAACCTGATTGAGGGAGTGAATGTGGTTCCGAGGGAGGTAGACAGGGATCCATCACAGTCAGGGATTTGGGGGTGTGATGGCTGTGGAAAAAGGTAAGGAGCAGGTGGGGGCTATTTGTGGATCTGTCTCTCGCCCAGAGGGAGGTTTTGGGGGGGGGGGGGGGGGGGGGGGGTTGGGGGGAGGAGATCAGGTCTGCCGTCCTCACCCGCTCTGGGGATAGCTGGGGGCGGGGGGCAGAGGGAGGTGAAGACAGACACTGGGACGGATGGAATAGGACAGAATAGAGCACAATCCCAACGGGCACGGGAGCCTGGCCGTTCGGCCCTTTGATTGGACACTGCCCCTCCCAGCACACCCAGACCACCCCCCACCCCACCATTGACAGGGGATATCCTGTGACATTGGGGTGGCTATGGCCTACACGTGACTCCAGACCCGCATGGC